AATATATTTGGACATTTGAACGCCATCCCGTAAGCAGAAATGTGGAATTGGTCGCGAACATTTAATGAACTTTTGCCCCATTTCACGTCACAAATCGCCATGCTGGCTGACTGCCAGACATCATAGCCACTACTCAAGTGTATCTCAGTTCCAGGCACGCAGCTCGCAGCACGAAGCACGCAGCACGCAGTGTTGTCCACTCATTAGCGGAAAAGGCCTGCGCCTCAGGCTAACCTTGAATTGATGTACAAATTGGAGTCCTGCAAAGTCAACGCACTCGATGACTGCAGTGAATGAGTGAGGGAGGTAGAGTTCAGCTACCCGAAATTGCCTGATCAGCAGCGGGTTAAAGAGTAGCAGCCAAAATATAATCCAACAGGCAGCAGGCAGCAGCCAATTGGCAAGCGAAACGGCCGACAAGACAAAGAGCGCTATAAATATCCCGAAGACAGATTTTAATGACAGCAATAAAGAATACGATGATGACTCGGCACACCCCATTCATCAACATCGATGCGATGGGATGAGCGAGCTGCCATCGCATCCCCATGACCATATTAATGCCATTCTGATCACTCATTGAACTTCTTTAGCAGTTGTAGCTCGTTGCGACAACGTGTTGCACATGGCTGCCGACGAGCGGCGAGCGGCTGAGGACGACGCCCACAGCTCTAAGTGCAATATGAGTAGCACTCGACGCTTGAAGATTATTTAAATCGCTGCTGGCAACAGGCTGGCAATACGTTTGGTGGCAGCTGTTGCAACTGAAAAAGGGAAACTGGGCACGAGGCGCACGCACACCCATACATATTTGGCGGCCAATGTGGCTGCTGCACGAAAGCTGGGGAGCTGCTGATGTTAATTACCGAAACACAGCCGCAACACTCGCGACTGGTTGCGGTATGGTCTGACCATCTAGACTGGCAACCGGCTAGGCAAATCGCTTTGTGCCATTTTTGGCTCATGTTTATAACTTGATTTTGTTGGGCTATTTGCGCGGCGGCAGTTTCTATGTCATTCCCTGTGTACACACTGAGTATGCGAGTTTTTTATTGTAGCTGGATAAATTGACGTCTTATTTAGTTTCTATGCAGCTAAAAGTGAATTCAGGGCGCCATTTCAAGACGATTAACCCAGTTGCAAATATGGCAAATAACTAAACATGAAATATGCGATGACATATAGAACTTCAAAGATAATTTATGCTAATAAGTCTGCATTGAGTTGTTAAAATAAACACACACCAAGTGCATATAGAAAGTAGTGTCAAAAATAATTACAAGTGTAAAATAAATGGAATCCAAGGCGAGGCGTGCGCTGTAACCTATAATTGGCTAAAATGCTATTTTCTTTGAATTTTATTGGACTTGTTAAACCACACAGAATGACTAGTTTCTAGGAAACAATAATGAATAAGTGTTCCACAAAATAAAAAAATGTTTGAAATATATTCAAAAATAAGCAAAGTAATTGATACTACAAATAACTGATGGGTAGTTTTAATTACTTTTCGATCTTAAATTTTCAATTTAATGCTTTTCTTTTTGTGTTTTTCTTTTGAGCATATGGAAATGTGTCTGCCACACAAGCAAAGACTATGAGATCATCTCTTGAGACTCTATTTGCCAGGCCAGCTACTATAGTTTATCTTTATGTTTGCGAGCGCCTTAACATGGCTTTAATTATTTATTTACATTTTCGTTATCAAGCTCAACCTCTGCTTAGCTTAGCAGATTCAAACTTGTGACCATATCAAATTGCAGTTTTGTCTTTGTTTTGTATGTTTTGTATGTATCTTTAAGTTGGCATGCAACAGTTTGGATATGAGCTTGGGTCTGTCTCCATATGCGGGTTAATGATCCGATCGGGATGTCGCAACAACTCGTTTCGCTGCACTCGCTACACAGTCGGCTATTGGCCGGCTTAGGGCCGTTTTATTTATGCAAAGCTCTTTGGAAAATATTGCCACCTTGAATGGAGGCACTTAAATTGTTAACATGCAAAACAGCCAGCCGAGCATGTGCCAAGTGACAAACTTGTTGATGTGTGTGCGTGTGTTGTGTGTTGTGTGTTGTGTAGGCCTTTAGAAACAAAAGCGAAAACAAATAAAGTCAAATTTGGCATGCAAATCCTTTAAATCAAATAGAACAAATTGCGGGCGGGTGGCATTAAAAAAAGAAGGAAATAAAAACAGGGAACAATAAACGTTGACAAGGCGTCGAGCGGAATGACAGCGCAGTTTTTGGCACCCCTGACGCTGCGTTTAGCTTAGCCCCAACCCCAAAAAGATATTCACCCTCGCAAGCAGCTGTTGCTTTTGCTGCTGCTGTTGCTGCTGCTGCTATTGCTGCTGCTGCTGATGGGGCAAGTACAATAAATTGGAAAATATAAAATCAACAGAGCTAATAGTTCACTTAGAGACAACAACTCAACGCCGCAGACGTCGACTTAGGGTGGGGTTGCTTGGTTTGACATAGTGGCACACATTTGCCCGCCACCTCCCCCACCTATACACAAACACACACACACGCACTGACTGTTAGCCACGCCGGGTGTGTGTGTCCGGAGCCCTTTCATATGGCCCGTAGTCACATTGAGCCGATTTACTATTGAAAATAAAATTTTATTCGATTTTCTTTTTGCTCGCCTTTGCCTCCCTCTCGCCACATTTGACAGTCTTCTTCTTCCTCTTTCCCCTCTGCTTCTTGTTCGTCAGTGCCTGCCTGGAAGCGTGCAACGCTCTGACGACTTTTGGATTTGATGTGAAAGTGCGTAGCTTTTTACGACTTTCAGTTTCCGATTTGTTTCCATTACAATATATATGCGTTTCGGGCGCTTTGGAATCATCTATTTTGATTTTGATTCTGATTTTGATTTTGATTTCAGGCAGTTTGTTTCGGATTTTCAATCAAATTTGGCTGCTTATTAGTTTGACGCTTCGCATATGGCTGAGCATAAATCAAATGCATTAAAAAATGCACGCACAATGAATCAGAAATTTACGATTGTGAAATTTGATTATGGTTCCCGTTGTGGGCAATACACCTAACGTGCATTTTTATTATACTGTTGGCGGCATGGGCCACGCCTCCGCAGCTGGAGCGACTGGCTGCTGGGTACTGTGTAGGTTAGGCCCTACTAATCGGCGTTACGTGCGTTCCATTTCAAGCACTCTTCGTACTGTCATCCGAATTCTATTTTGACAGCAAGCGAACTGGCAATTTCGGCGCCTCAAGCATGAGGGCGGACAGGCAGACAGAGAGACAGACAGAATGCATGCCTAGGTGGCCCAAGCCTCGTCTGTGTACTGCATAAATTTTGCCTCATTATAAGAATAATTCAACTGTAGAACTCTTTAAACTTTTCGGCACTCTTCGCCAACAGTCAACAGTCAACATTCAACAGTTCAACAGTCGATTAAAATTCATAAGATGTTCGCCTTGAGAGTGTCAAATTTCTACGTATTCGTTTATATATTTTTTACCCTTTTTAGAGACAAAGATATTAAATAAATATTATTACATAACAGTCATAGCTGTTCCACTTATGTGCTATAGTTGCATAAATTATTTTGTCAATTAGTTTTAAGGGTCAATTAAATGAATTTGTCACTTTCTCACATCTTATTTGTCTCATCTTTATTCAGTTTTAGCTCTTGTCCGATTAAAGTCATGTTGAACATTCCAGAATTGGCATCATCAAAATGTTATAAACACAAATGTGCTCTTAATTAATAGAGTAAGACACTTTTCTTCGCCGCTCTCACAATTGACAGTCATTTGCATAGCCAAACGTAGTGTGTGTGAAAGTGAGGCAGCCACCCCCTCTCTTTTCCTCGTATGTGGACTGTGGGCACTCGTGCGTCGTGAGTGATGGCTGCGTGCCTTTATAGGGTATAGAGCTTGGTGCGCTTGTCATGTCGTGTGCTGCGCTAAACTTGATAAATATTAATTGTTTGCCTTTGTCCAGAGAGACAATTTGAGGTCAGCTACATGCTCATGTGCGCGATGTAGAGCCCATTAATTGCATTAGATTATGCATAGCGAAGGGTTTGGGAACAAGACCGAATTAAATAGGCGCCAAACGCATGCTTCAAGTGTGTTGACAATTTGAATTTGAATATATGCTGCTGCTGCTTTTGTTTGGGAATGTATCATTAAACAAATGAGCCCAGCTCAATACAATGATTTATTAAGTGACCAACTACAATTTTATTTAGCTGTTCGGTTGACAAATTTTGTTTACGAGCAATTTGTTGCTCGATCTCTGACATTTCCACAGAGTTACATCCACATGAACCCAGTTGCCAGCTGCCAGCTGCCAGCCAGGGTGTGTCTATCAAACTCGTCGCCCAAATCTTAGCTTAAGAAATATAAATAGCGATCTCACAATTCGGCGATCAGCACCACATCTAATTGTCATTAATCTCGACAAGCCATTGGCTTGCCTGAGCCATTGTCTGTCGCATATACAAGTTGTCTCGTGTGCAGCAGTGACGCATTAAGTTGTTTGCTTGAGAGAGACCACAAAATTGTGTGGCTTCGGGCTGGGTGCCTGCGGTTGCAGGCAGTTGGTGGGGTTTGGTAGCGATGGGCTGTGCGCACAGGTGTGGTTGACAGTGAGGCATCGTCCACCCACAATTCTTAATTGCAAGCAAGTCTGCAGACCCGCAACTTAGCACGTGACCGCTGCAGGGGGTCTCCACTGTGAGTTAACGGTCTCGTATTACCAATGATTGCGGCTCGTAGATGAAGTGTCTGTGGTTGTTGCTTAAATTTCCCGCACAGGTGCGGGTATCTCACTAAAGTGTCGAAGTTGCTTGTTATAATAAGGAGTATTATTTTTAATCATGGATAATTATTTAGAGTTTTGGTTCACAAGTTTATAGTTGATATCTTCATTCTTGACTTATATAATAATAATTCAAAGAAATATAGTAATCATTTCTAGAATTTATTGTCTTTTTACTAACCCACTTCAACTTTAAACTCTCTTCGCAGCAATAAATCAGTTTGAAATGCGTTCGCTTCCGTTCATCGCAGCGCTCGTGCTGCTGTGTCTGGTTCCGGTTCGTGATTCCCTTGAACTAGTGGGCCAATCCATTAAAGGTGAGTGTGTTTACCAATGCTGTATTGTTTTATGATATTTGCTTTTCGTATTGCTTCTTAATGGTGTAGTTGAGCCTAATTGTTTATTTGATGTCAACAGCAATCAGAGTCAATAAATCCAACAAATTCAAATTGCTGCGAACATGCGTTGCCCGCTTTTGAGCTGCTCTAGAGCAGACAGTGTGAGCAAGTTTTTCATTGCATACTTTTGGGCGGGCATTAATTATATATAATTAAAATTATACTTGAGATAAAACACAACTCAATATGGTTTTTATTTACTTGAATTTCTTTTTATACCAGATGAAATGGGTGAACATATGCTCACGGATATCATGTACGACAATCAATACACGGGCATTGACTTTGTCAATGCTGACGATGGTTACCCGGCCTTCAAGTTACTTGCGAGTGCAAATGTGAAGTCGCCATCGACTCTGATGCTGCCAGAAAAGCTCTACGAATTTGCCATACTGGTCAAATATCGGCTGAACTCGCTAAAGGGCGGCTATCTATTCAGCGTTGTTGATTCCCAGGAGACGGTGCTGCAGCTTGGCGTTCACCTGTCGCCGGTTGTCAAGAACAGCTACAATGTGACGCTCGTTTACGGGCAGGCCGACATTCCGGCGGGTCGGAAACTGGCCACTTTTCCGGTACCCAACGTGCCGGACAAATGGAACTCGATTGCGTTCCAGGTGTACAGTAACAATGTGACTTTCTATTACGACTGCGTACTGCAGAACGCCACGGAGGTGGTGCGAGATCCATTTGAGCTGTCATTCAATAAGACTGCGGTGCTCTTTATTGGCCAGGCAGGTTCCGTATTCCATGGCCACTTCGAGGTAAGTTCTGGCGGCGGCCAATTTGCTTTCATCTAATAATTATTGCAACAGCAGACGTCAAACGGCGGCACACATGTCTCTTCAATGCAGCGGGGCTACCCATTGGGTAATGGGGAACGTTTTGGGTGAAGGTTTTGGGAAATTAAAGAGCAACACATTAAAAAACAGACCATATGTCTTACTCGTATCAATTTGTACTTGAATGCTTGTGCAACGAGCTGTACGTACTCATAAAAAGACGCGTGAGTACTCATTCAATTGTCTGCAAGTGGCTGCTTGAACCATTCAAACATTCAACCACCAACGGCTCTGTTGAAGACGAAAATAGCTGCAGAGCTTTTCAACACACCTGATAGCAAACGTTTTCACCACCGCACCCTTATAGGGCGCCAATTTGCCACATGGCGGCCAAATTGGGAGACAACTCAGACTCAGTGCTCAGTTGGCTTCACTCAGTTGGCGCAGTTTCGCTCAACCGAAAGGTACTCAAACTCGTATTACGTATACGCCGAGTTTAATTCAAGGCTCACAGTGCGCTCTCAGCTTTATTCAGCGCCTGTAAGGACGAAGTGTTGCTTAGCACGAGTGAAACTGTGTTGTCTGAGGCACGAGTTGAGCGGCATCCAGTTGGTCCTGTGTGTTTGTGTGCCCTTGTGTGCGCCATGTTGCTGTGATTTGGCTTACGTTGGGCCTGGCCGAGACGAGTGCGTTTACCTTTCAGTCGCGTTCGGTGCCGCAAACAGTTAACATGTGCGTACGGCAAAGACGGCACAGCACTAATATTTCCATACTGCCACAGAACGCTGAAGTCGCGCTCTGACTCGGTGCCTCCTGTCGTACACATCGTACACGTTGTCGGTGTCGGTGTCGGTGTCGTTGTCGTTGTCGTTGCCGTTGTCGTCCTCATACTCAGCGTAAGCGGCTCGGCGCTGTCGTCGTATCGTGAAGCGTAAGCGGCTATGTGTGAGCCAGGCGTAAATGAAGCCATTGTGCGAGTTTAGCCGCAAAAAACGAAAGTGATTTATGCCTAAATGAAATATGTTTGCATAATATTCAAGTGAACCGAGACGTGAAACGCGTAATGTGAACTCAAACCAAGACCCAACGGAGTCGAGTCAATTAAAATTCAATTATGCGATCAAAGATGAAGGAAAGATGGCGCAAACGTTTGAAATTGCGACCACTCACCTAGCTGCCAATTCTATTGGTATTGGTAGTATCAGTGTCACTAACACTCACAGTAACAGTCACAGTAGTAGTAGCAGTGCTCGCCAAGAACATATCAAGCTAAACACATCACATATCATACAACATTCCTGGCCACATTCGTGCCGGTGATTGTTGCGCGTGTCGTTTGCAAATCGCGTGCAGTGGACTAAACGCCTGGCCAGATTTTCTGCAAAATTAATAAACGTGATGGTCGAGTATTACCTATAGCGTTCAAATTATCCAACATATCCAAAGGCAACTCCCAGCCAGCCCCCTCTGATCGCCGCGCCGGCTAGGTAAATAAAGAGTTCCGTAAAAAAAAATAAAAAACTAAACAGAAAACACAAATTTGTTTGCCCACTGAGCAAATATTTACAATTAGTTTGGCTGGCAGGCTCGCGGCTTTTCTGCTCCTGTTGCAGTTGTTCTTGTTATTATTATTGTTGTTGTTCTTGTTATTTTGTTTGCTCGTTGTTGTTGGGCTCCTTTTCGTGTCCGTCGCCGTGTCGAGCGTGTGAAATTTGCGAAAACTTTTCGTGTGAAGCAGAAACAGAGTCGGTTCAACTTGAAGATGAAATATTTAAAACCCACAACTTTTCGCTATAGCCACTGCCACTGCCATTGCCTAGATCCCGCCGCCCCCGCGTCCGCCCTCAGTGAATTTGTTCAAATGAAAATCAATCAATTGCACAACGTAAAAATGCATGTGGTGTGAAAACGAGAAAAATTGATTGCGCGCAGCGGGAGCCAACGGCTGGTTGTCCAGTTAACAAACGCCAGTTGCCGCAACTGTTGAGCACAGATACTGAAACGCATTCGGCAATTCGTTTTTGCTTAAATAAAAAACAAATAAAGACATTCGCTGTCATTTGTAATTACAAATGATTTCCCACAAGTGCATAACTTGAACGTAATAAAAGAAACAACAAAGGCGAGAAGTGTAACCCAAAAAAATATAATAAAATAAAGTTTTTTGGTTTTGTTTTTTTTAACTAACTATATGTAATTAAATTATCTGTGATTTTGTCAACATATTCAATATTATCAACGCATACATATTTACGAGAAGAAAACATATACATAAATAGATTGTCGCGTTCATATCGTTTAGTTAAAGCTGACTTTTAACTCACTCAGCTCCGAGGTAAATACATGCATAAATTAATATATCTTATATATATATATACATATGTATATCTGTATATATAGTAGGCACTCTGCTGGCATTAGTGGTACAATGGGCCACACAAATGGTTTGAATGTCGCAGGCTGTTGCCTATCAAATTGAGCATTGGCTGCGCATAAATTATGACAAGCTAGGAGCAGGCGGGGGTTGTTGGGGGAAGTAGGAGCCAGAGAGCCGGAGCGTAGGCGGAGGCAGCGGCTTTCTATATTGGCTGAGCCTTATTCGCGTTGGCCCAAATCAAAGGCAAACTCATTAAGGCAGCCTACTGCAACAACAGCCATGAATAACCAGCACAAACACTAACACACGCACACATATGCATATTAAAAGAGCGCTATGTGTGTGTGGGTGTGTGCGTATGGGTATAATATTGTGTATACGTAGATTTTTGTGCGCTAGCTCGCTCGCCGGCTTGCCTGCTTGCCTGCCTGCCTGACTGCCTTTGTCTTTAGTGTTCCGGTGTTCCGGCCGCTAGGTAAAGAAATATACATTTTATTTATTAAATAAAAGGCCTTTTAAATGTCTGCATTGTTACAAAAGACATTTTCTTTTACTTACTCTGGCCTCTGGGCTCTGGCATCCCGATATAAGGTTAACAGCTGCACAAAAGATAACCCGAGCTATTGATGACATCACACAGCCCTCTGCCTATATAGGCCAGATGTTTAATATTTCAAACATAGCTGAGTCCTTTGACTAACTCGACTACTTTTGCGGTAGCCGAAGGCTCTGCCTTTTAATTGTGGCCACACGTGTGTTCGCCTCCCTTTTCAAAAAAAAAAAAAAGAAAAGTGGAATTCAATTGAAATTCGAATTTTGGGCATTTTCAGCTTTTGCTGTGCAGCCAGTGCGTGCATTTAATTAAATGGTATAACGCATGTGACATAAAATATCAACAACAACAACAGCAGGAAAAGTAACAAAAATCCAGGACTTTAAATGGTATATATATATGGGTTTCTCTGTGGGGTTTAGTTCGACTCGTGTTGAAGAGTGGCAACAAGCTTGAATACATAAATATGTATGTAGTCATAAATTATCATAGTTGAATAGGGCGTGCTCTCTCTCTCTCTCTCTTTTTCTCCTGTCTCTTTCTGTCTCTCTCTAGCTTTCTCTGCCTGTTTGACGCACATTTAAATATCAGAATTTGATTGTGTGTTCAGCTGGCTTTATTTGTTGCCGTAGTTTGTTAACACCGCTTGCTTACATGCCTGCCCCTGAAAACATGCTTTATTTCCAGTAATGTGTAATTTTGATTTGCAAATTTATCAATTTAGCATCATAATACAATATTTTGACCCGTTCTGTTGACACAATTTAAAATTCAATTTAAAATGTTTATTTACACATTCAGCCAAATTGCCGCCCACAATAAGTTGTTTTCTATTAACCGCGATTGTGTTTTGAAATTAGTTTTCACTAAGCCATTGTCTACAAATATAAATACGTGAGCACAAGCAATGCCACCGGTTTCAATTATATAAATGCAAATCATCTGCAGAGCTCTTTAAATGCACTTTTAATCACCTCACTCAGTGCGCTGTTCTTTGCGATTTTCAATGCTTTAAAACGTTTCGCTTGAGCAATTCGACAGAATAACTTTCTGTTCTCACGCTTAAGCGTGATTCCTTTTGGTTTCTTTCTCTGTCTACTTTTTTGCGAAATATTTAGTTTGGCTTATTTTCAGACTGATATTTCATGAAATTTTTAAATTTTACTTTTGACTTCATGTAGATTTTTTAAAATTGATTCTCACTTTCATCGCTTTAGTCCGTACGTGTTGAAGATTAATATGCCCAGAGTTTTTGTATGCAATAATGTACGTTTTATTGCTGATAAGGCTGCAGCTCGTTAAATTTAAATACAATGCTTATTTTATGGCCAGCTCTGTGATTTGTGGGCAGAATTACTCACAATGAAGAAAATGGTCAGCCAACTAAAAAGTGCTTCCGTGAGAAATTTAAACCAATCAAAAAGTCAGGAAAATAAACTATTTTATGATTCTATGGCTGCTGCCCGATTGGGGCCTTTAAGCAAGGGAACAAGCAGCCGTTACCGAAACCCAACACCAATAAAGATAAATTATGCAAACGCTGGATTTTAATTATACGACTAGTGAAGCGGCCCACGAACGCCCCACTCGCCCACTTGCCCACGCGCCCGCTTGCTATAATGGCAGGGAAATGCGCTCGACTAGTTGGCTTCTTATTAATTTAACCAGCTCTTTATGCGTCCTTTGGATCGTCCACGCACAGACACACTCACCGACGCACTTACACACATGCCTAGTGACACATTGAGTCACATGTGGAATGGGTTCTGGGGGCAATTGTCAAACAGTAGGCAAAGGAGCTGCTATCGATCAAACTTGGCCAAGTCAACTCAAGTCTGGTCCGTGACAAGGATGGGGCTGCTTAGACATTCCTTCTGGTGACATTTTATTGTGCTTGCTTCTTATTAAGGATGCATGTGTGACACATGTTTAACCCCTGCTCAGTTGGAACATCAGTTAGTCATTGTTACTTAGGCTTTGAATCAGACAAAGGCATGCCAAATGAAATTATCTAAGCCGGAAGTCTCACTCCCTTTCTGTGTGTCTGCTGTT